CAGACGTATTTTGTCACTCTTATTAACAAACTCTCATCCACACCTCGCCAACTCTTTTCTACTTTTAACTCTGAGGACTTACCTGTTACTTCCTGCAGGGTCCCATATCGTTGGGTGGTCTCCTTGTGTAGCTGGAGACCGGGCGTGCTGCTCCCTGCAGCGCCGAAAGCCCAATGGCTGCTGCTTCACTGTGTCTGCTCTTCCCTTCGTCCAAAGCCTAGTAGGAAGAGGCACACACGTACTGGACCGCCTTTTAAAGGGACCGTGCACGCCTCTTCAAGCATGTGGTCCATACTTGGAAATTATGTAATCTCATCACCAACAGGTATATAGGCAGGAAAGGTGAGTCATTTTATGCTTGGTTATTGTTAAGCTTATCCTTTCAGTGCCTAGCATTATACCTGTTCTGATTCCTGTTACCGACCCCCTGGCTTGTTCTGTGACCCCGATACTTTGCTGCCTGCTCGACCTCTGCTACGTTCTACGATTTTGATTCTGGATTTTAATTCTGCTACCGTGCTCTTGGACTGACCCTGTACTGGCTACCACTACGCAGGAGATTGTGCGTTATCCTAGTCTACTTGAGTAGAGGTATCGATCATACTGGCAAGTCCCTCGTGTCTGGGCTCCTACCATCACCAACCTGATAGGCAGTGATCGACAGAACTGGTCCCCTGCTGCCATTGAGGTCTTTAAAGCCCTTAAGTCCGTATTTGCTACTGCTCCGATCCTTTCTCACCCAAATCATGCCTTACCTTTTATCCTTGAGGTCATTTGCATCTGAGACCGGAGGAGGCACCCTCCTGTCTCATCACCCTGATGGTCACTAAACACCCTTGTGGGTTCTATTCTAAAAAGTTATCTCCAGAGTGCAATTACCAATTCGGACACCGAGAACGCTTGGCCATAATTCTGGCTCTCAAAAAGTGGAGAAATCTGCTTGAGGGTACTACAGTTCCTGTTCTTATTCCAACAGATCATAAGAACTTAACCTATCTTTCCTAGGCCAAGAGGCTCCTACCACGCCAAGCCAGATGGGCTCTGTTTCTTTCCTGATTCAATTGTGTATTTGCCTGTCTCAAAAAATTTTAAGGCTGATGCCCTGTCTCGCTTTTATTCTGAGTTGCCCAGGGAAGACTCCATGCCCACTCTGGTTATTATTCCAGATCATATCCAAGAAACTATCCACACCAATTTAATCTCTCCCCTGGGAGAGCAGATTCTGGCCGCTCAATCTATGGCTCCTTCCGAGAAACCATTTGATAAGTGTTGTGTACCTGAGAATGTATGCATTAAACTGTTGCGAACCTGCCATAACTCCAAGACTGCCGGTCACCCTGGTAAAAATCAGATGACTTAGGCTATTTCTCGCCAATTCTGGCGGCTGTCTTTCTGCACTGATGTCGCTGCATCTATGGCTGCATGTTTTATTTGTGCCCAAAGCAAATCCCCTCAGCACCTCCCTGTGGGCCTTGTACAACCTATTCCCAATGGGGGAGCGTCCTTGGTCCAACCTAGCCATGGATTTTATCGTTAACTTTCCTGTGCCTCATGGCAATACCGTAACTCTCATGATTGTTGACTGTTTTTCCAAAATGTGCCATTGCATAGCATTTAGGAAGTTGCCCATGGCTCAGGAGCTCACCATGGAGTTTGCCAGGGAGTTCCATACCTAAAAAAGTCTCGTACCATGGCAGCCATTTATTATTATTATACAGGATTTATATAGCGCCAACAGTTTGCGCAGCGCTTTACAATATAGGGAAGACGTTACAATAACAATACAAATCAAGACAAGATGGTAAGGAGGGCCCTGCCCCTGAGGGCTTAAAATCTAACAGGGAGGGGGGAAGTGATACATGAGGAGGGAGCTGTGTGGGGATGAATTGTTTGAGAGTGTGATGGTTGAGCGGTTAGGTTGAGGTGGGATAGGCTTCCCTGAAGAGATGAGTCAGTCAAGGTGGGCGACAGACGGACAGGTTGGTGTAAAGAATTCCAGAGGATGGGAGAGACTCTAGAGAAGTCCTGGAGGCGAGCATGGGAGGAGTTGACAAGGGAGCTGGAAAGCAGGAGGTCTTGGGATGAGCGGAGCCGACGGTTAGGGTGATACTTTAAGACCAGGTTTGAGATATAGCCGTGGGCGGAGTTGTTGATGGTTTTGTAACTGATTGTTAATATTTTGAATTTTATCCTTTGGGCGAGTGGAAGCCAGTGCAGGGATTGACAGAGGGGGTTTGCAGACACTGAGCGGTTGGTTAGGTTAATGAGTCTGGCAGCTGCATTCATGATAGACAGAAGGGGGGATATCCTGTGTAGTGGAAGGCCAATGAGGAGGGAGTTGCAATAGTCAAGATGAAATATAACAAGGGAGTGGATGAGTAATTTTGCGGTTTCTTTGGTGAGGAAGGGTCGTATTTTGGAGATGTTACGAAGGTGAAGGCGTCAGGATTTGGATAGTGATCGGATGTGGGGAAGAAAGGTGAGGTCCGAGTCAAGGATGACACCTAGGACCTTGGCATGGGAGGAGGGGTGGATAGTTGTGTTAACAATCTCAAGGGAAAAGTTGGGGGAAGGTGCACGGGCAGGAGGAAATATCAAGAGCTCAGTTTTTGAAAGATTGAGTTTAAGAAGTGTTGCGACATCCAGACGGATATGTCGGATAGTAGACTAGTGACACTAGAGGACACCGAGGGGGTGAGTTGTGGAGTAGAAAGATAGATTTGAGTGTCATCAGCAAAGAGATGGTATTGGAAGCCATGTGAGGTTATTAGTTGACCAAGGGAGGTGGTGTAGATAGAGAAGAGAAGGGGGTCCAAGGACAGAGCCTTGGGGGACTCCTACAGAAATAGCAAGATGAGGGGAGGAGTTAGAATTGTAGGTGACACGAAAGGAGCGCTTAGATAGGTAGGAGGAGAACCACGAGAGAGCAGAGTCTTGTAGCCCAAGTGACTGGAGTTTTTTGAGGAGGAGCAGGTGGTCAAAAGCAGCAGAAAGATCTAATAGCAAGAGTAGGGAATAGTGGCCTTTGCTTTTAGCAGTGAGTAGGTCATTAGTGAGTTTTAGGAGGGCGGTTTCAGTGGAGTGTATGTGGCGAAAGCCAAATTGTAAGGGGTCAAGAAGGTTGTGATCAGTGAGGTGGCGGCTGTTGATGAGGCATCTAGGAGTTTGGAGGTGAATGGGAGTAAGGAGATTGGTCTGAGATTATTGAGGTTGGTAGGGTCCATTGAGGGTTTTTTGTGTATTGGGGTGACCAAGGCATGCTTCAGAGGGGAGGGAAAGATTCCAGTACAGAGTGAGAGATTGAAAATGTGAGCAAGAGGGTGACCGAAGTAGCGGTGAGGGAACAGGGTCCAGGGGGCAAGTGATGATGTGGGTGTCAGAGAGAAGCTTTGTAACCTCCTCTGTGGTGACAGGGTCAAAAGAGGAGAGTAACAAGTGTAATGGAGGGTCTGGTACATGAATAGGGAAAGGTGGCTGCACAGTGGTGATCTGATCGCGAATTGTATCTATTTTGTTTTTGAAGTGAATGGCAATGTCCTGGGCAGTGAGTGAGTTAGTGGGTGGTGGTGGTGGAGGACGAAGTAGAGAGTTAAAAGTAGAAAAGAGTTGGCGAGGTGTGGATGAGAGTTTTTGTTAATGAGAGTGACGAAATACGTCTGTTTGGCAGTACAGAGGAAGGAATTGTATTTTAGGAGGGCTGCTTTGTACAGGGTGAAGTCTTACAGAGATCTAGTTTTTTAGCCACAGTCGTTCGAAAGTGCAGCTATGTCTCTTGGAGATTTTTGGTTTCATTTGTTTGCCACGGTTGTAGCAGATGTGGTCTAAATCTGCGAGTAGTGAGTGGAGCCAAGGTGTCTAGAGAGGACGAAAGTCAGCTGTTGTAGACAGAAATAGCCAGGTCAGGGCAGGATAGGGGTGGGATTTTGTCATAGAGGTAGTCGGTAGCAGAGTAGAGAAGAGAAGGGTTGAGGCGGTGGAGGGACTGGTGGGCCTTTTCCACTCAGTTGGGACTTTGACTCTCCTCCTCCACGTAAAGGTAATCGTAGGACCACACACTTTTGATGTCAAAATAAACAAGACATTTCTGGGACCAATGAAATGATAGTTCTGTCCTAGAAGTTTTAACTGGGGCGTAGGAGGGAAATACTCAATGTTTGGAAGTTGCTATGATTGACTATAAGTCCTGAGATGTTTGCATAGTTTTGCAGAGTGACAATAAAAGAGGGTAATGATGTCATAGGCTGGCATAGGTTTATCAATATATTGATTTTAAACAGGATACTTACAAGGTCTATTCCTTTTCACGTTAGGGTTTTTTCTTATCAACATAGGCAATGGATCTAAAGCTAAAAGGGATATTATGGGTGATGGTGAACCTTTTGCCTTGTACTTTTTTTAACACAAACGTTAGTAGAGGAGTTACACAATTATGAAACCTTAGCTGACAGTATTATACATAGATGATATCCATGCACAGATGTTTGGTACTAAACTGTAATTTAATGAGGGTGCATTGGAGGCAGTCCTGATCCTACAGTTTAGTGATTGTCACTTAGAGCAAACTTTTTTTAACTCTTGCATTGGGGCTACACCTGCACTGCAAGGGTTAAGTGCTCATTTGTTTCTAGGTGCAAAAATAAGTTATACTCTCCTGATCCTTGGAGCTGGCTTGTTGTTAGACTGGTTCCTAGAGCCTCTCTTCCCCATCCTCTGCAGCGATCTAAGGTCCAATAAGTCCTCACGTCCTTTACACTGTGTATAGGATCTAAGGATGTCTAGGTGCATGCCATCACTGCAGTAGAGGAGGAGACAGGAAGAAGGGACTGGTCTAAGAGCAAGCCAGCTCTGAGGATTGGGTAAGTATACTTCTGTCATTTTAGCACCTAGACACAAATGAGCACTTAACCGTTGCAGTGTGGGGGTTTGGCCAGAGTTCTTCTTTGAAGGAGTTTTGTTTATGCCCTTTCATGCACATCTTTGTAACTAAACTGTATGCACAGTATGATTTTAGAATAATGTTTCCTGCTGTTTGTCATGAATTTATTTGCAGCCATTACTAGTTCTTCAGGGATTCCAGCCTCTCCTTTCACTCTGGAGGTTAAAGATGCACCACAATATTTCCGATTACAGCATACAGTTTCTGCTGAAGAATCTGTGACCTCTTCACAAACTGATCTGCACAGAGAGACTTTCTTGGTAACACGTCTTGGAATTAAAGAGCCACATGTACGTGCATCCTTTCAGCATGTACAAAAACAAGAGGTAAGAGAAGTATAGGCAATAGCCTAAAAGCAATTGTGTTTCAAAACTTTGGTGTTTTGCTATCTGAAAGATTATTAAACTGTAAGGAACCATACTCTAGCATCAGATTTCATACACCTTTTATTACATTCATTTTTTACTACTGTAATAAACTTAGTTACCCCTAAAAGTATTAGATCTCCATATTTTCTTCATAGCAGTACCTCTATGGAAGTGGTTGGCCCACCTGTGGTTAAAAAAAGCAGATACAGCAGTTAAAACTCTTCCCTATGATGGTCTTTCTGCAGAAAAAAAAGCGTATGATGAGATATTCACTAAGGGTTAAGTACTACTAAATGGATGTAGAGACTGTACCTTTCCTTTTTACAACACATGAAGCCCACAAGCTGATTGTAATAACCCATACTCTCCCATTCAGGAATCAGTTTAGAAAGGACATGCTGCAACAAACAGCTTTTTTTTCAGAACTGAAACGGGTAGGAAACTGCTACAAAGTTTGTTGAAATCCTTGTAATGTGCATTGATCACCCAGAGAGTATTGTTTTTTCTCAACAAAAGCAGCATTATTCTTTAAAAAAAAAAAACATGCCAGCAATGTACATAAAGTGTATGCATGCAGGCATGCTGCTGTATAGGAACACAAACGTACACGTTTTAGCGGCCTTCTTAGTCCCTCCTTTTGAAATGGCTGCCTTGTGCTCTGTGTAGATTTCAGGATGTTGTGCTCAGTTGGAACTAGAATGCAGGGCGTGTTAAACTGCTTCTCCCCCAATGCTTTGTTCACTCATGCACAAGCTTATTCACACACACACACACACACACACACACACACACACACACACACACACACACATATATATTTCATAGATATCTAGATAGATCTATCTAGATAGATAGATAGATATATATTAATAAAGAGACAGACCGGGTCCCAGAGACAAAGAGCACTTCAGAGATAGAGTGCTTCGGAGGCGGAGAGACAGAGAGGCAGAAACAAAGTGTGTCACAGGCAGAAACAGAGTCAGATGGATTGAGACATGACATCAAGTTGCCTTTGTGTGTATATAAATAATAGAAGTTGTACTTTGATTATAAAAACAGATCGGAGTGAATCGACTTTCTCTGGGAGGCAGGACAGGTGTGGGGGTTTTTCCTTATTCTGCTCCCGAGGCTTGGAGAAGGGGGAGGGAAGTTGGTGCTCCGGCTGATCAGACAAGAAAGAATTTAGTCAGAGAGACATACAGATAGGCAAGGAAATCACACCTTAATGAATACAAAGCCCAGAGAGAGACAATCCAGAGCAACACTCAAAGCTGAGAGATAGGGAGGCGGATCAACAAGGTGGGCATAGACACAGAGCGAAAGCTTAGAGACTAGTTTAGGAAGTTTACCCACCTTTTAGAACGAGTCCTGCAAAAGCTTCTTTCTCCCCAGAACAGAGCAATGTGCAATGTTTTGAGGATGACTCGTCGACTGGGCTGAGCCCAGCCATCTCCTCTCAGCCGCTGCAAATACTTTCTGATCAGCGTCACCTGAAGTGTTTACACTTCCCCTACTCCACTGTACTTGTGCATGAGAAGGGCGTGGGGTTAGATGAGCTAGATCAGTCCTCTTGCTGCTGCCTAGAGCTCTGTGAGAACGAAAGATCTCACAGTACAGGTTGCATAAAATAAATAGCAACCTGACCTAAGTCCACAGGATTGGTTTTACTGTGGAGGGAAATTTTATTTTCTAGGTCTCTGACACATTAACCCTTTCCTTGTCACCACCGTAAGGCATACGGCGGAACAAAACTGTTCACAATACGCCAGGTTAGTATGCCTTACGGCGCTGCCATTTACAGTTCTGCTATAAGCACATGGTCGCTTTAGGGACCATGAACTTATATGACAAATGTTCCCCAGACTGTCCCCTTTAAATTAATAGCTGTCATCAGTGTCTCACAAGCCACTGATGACCGCTATTAACAGAAATTCCGGTCGCCCCCACTGGCACGCTGCCGTCGGCCGCCAGCATGTTCAGCCTCTCAACCCTGTCTGGAGCCGCTCCAGGGATCTGTGACTCCACGGATTCCCGCTGCTCTCCCCCGCTTTAAGGGCTGAGGCAGCGGGATCCCAATAGAAATGACCGACGCGTGGGAGGGGGGCGGAGGAACGAGCGGTGATCGAGCAGCATGAGAGCAGCCCAGCGGGGAGGAGAGAGCAGCCGCTGTCATCCTGTCAGTTTCCGGATGACAGCGGCTGTGTGCGTGGCCGAGAGGGGGATCGGTAAATATCTGATATTTACAGATCCTCTTTGTGGAAGGACAAACACCGTCTGACCACTCCAGTGTTTGTAAGTAACTGGGGACATATAGTACTATGTGTCCACAGTTATGAATGAACAGGATGTGATTTACATCACTTCCTGTTCATTCATGATTTTTTCAATGGGGAGAAACACTCACCGCAGAGGCTTTTCCCCATTCAGAAACTGGTGATAAATATTTTACTATCAGCATTTTCTTAATGAATGGGAAGCCTCTGTACTGAGTGCTTCCCATTCATTGAGTGCTGAAGCTGCAGAAAAAGAAATTGAGGACTCTGTCGTAAAATTATTTTTCTATTTCAAAAGGGAAATGTCAGGGGTCTATTTAGACCCCAGATATTTCACCATAGCCCCCTCCACAGTAAAAAAAAAAAAACTTATTAAAAAATAAATACAAGGGATTCCATTGGTCTACAGGAGGGGTCTGAGCTCTCCATCGGGAGCGTGGCGCGCCCATGACGTAGTTCTCGGGCGCCGTCAGCCCACGAGCCTCGCTATGCTACGAACAGCTACTGAAGCCCGAGCCGCCAATGCTACCCTCGCGTTCCCGCTGGTGATGTCTTGCCTGCCCGCAGGTGATGTCTTGCCTGCCCGCTTGTAGGGCTACCATCGACTACCATCGACTAGCTGTATTGCGGAAGATATTGAGGGATCTGCCTTTTTCCCTTGGCGCTACTACATACACCATTTCAAGATATTCCAGAAGTGACAGCTGGACTATATCACACAACATCCGTACAGAGCCTGGCCCACGGACCCCCACTAGGGATCCCACTGGACCTATAAACAGATACTAGGCACTTTATTAGACCCCCAAGACCCTTACTGATGGGGGGAAGGAAAAAAAGAAAAGCAACTACACACAGTAACAATGAGACGGAATTCCTGATCCAAGATTGGAGCATACTTCACAGGTACCCGTTCACGTTTCTCAGGGGGGGGATATCAGGATGTCGGCACCCACTTCCCCAATAAATGGGAATGATCGGGACCACAGTGGCAGGAAAGCCCAGGATAAAACCACACAAGATATCTCAGATCACTCTCATGTACATTCAGAGGTTCCTCCAAGAGGGAGAGAAGAGACTTTCATAGACAAAGCACAGGGAACAGTTAGCCCTAAGACCTGTGGTCAAATGGAGGGGATAGAGCTGCAAAGAATGGGAGAATATTTGCGATCACTCCCCAATAAAGAAGATATGGAGGGATATATCGCCAGACTGGAAACAACATACAGAGAGGAGTTACTAGTTTTAAAAACCGACATTTTAGCCTTGGGGGCCAGAGTAAGAGACCTAGAAGAAAAAACGGCGATAGATACATCAAGAATGGATACACAACAGAAAACTATCAACAAGCAGTCAGCACAGATCCAGGACATGCTTTATAAAATGGATGATATAGAAAATAAGAGCAGACGCAATAATATACGGGTACACGGAATACCAGAAACAATAGACACGCCTGCTCTTTTTTCCACAACCAAGGTTATACTAAATGGTATAATGGATAGAGCTCCAGAAGCAGAACTAATTATGGACACAGTGTATAGAGTACCGGGATATATTAAAAGAGAATCAACAAGGCCCAGAGACACGATCTGCCATCTGCATTATTTTTCAGAAAGAGAAGCAATATTCTCAGCTATGAGAACCAAGAAAACAATAACACATGAAGGATACATAGTGACTATTTTTCCGGATCTAACAAGACAGACATTGATGCTCAGAAGTGCCGTGAAGCCCTTACTGGAAGTTTTGCAGAAAAGAGATATAAGATACAGATGGGGATTCCCATTCCAGCTTACTGTACATAGAAATGGAAAAATAGTTAAATTCAAGAGACTTGAAGATCTTCCAGGTTTTCTGGAAACCCTGGAAATTCCCCCAGTACATCTACCTGAATTGCCTATAGAACTAAATTTAAATAAAGATACACAAAGCCAGGGGTGGTCAGTAGTGAGACATTAGAACCCCAATTGAATTAATAGAGGGAGAAATGTGAACTTTATGGGTTTTTTTTATGTCCTTTCACTAATTTTTTTTCCCTTGGCTAGACAAGTAATCTCTTTGTCTCTCTGCCGATGGGCGGCCCACGCAGTCCCCCCCGACGGCTGGGGGTTGCCTCCGGGGGCGGGGGAGGAGCATGGGAGAGATAGAGAAACATAAGTATAAAGTATAGTCAAGATGGAAATGTGGGGGAAAAGGCTTGGGCCCTACAAAATTAAAATACAGTAGGTGGGGCTTGTGGGGGGGAGGGGTGTACTAGACAGACGGACATACGGCCCCCACGTTCCCATATAGCCCAAATTTTCTTTTTGCAGGGCTTGTTCTTGGAAGGTTCAAGTAGGATGGGTAAGGAAAAGGCACTATCCTATATACAAGAACATAACGGTTGTATAAATGTATTGAGAACAGAAGGGAGTGAAAGATGTACACGATATAAAAAAAGGATGAAAGGAAGGAATAGCTGGCGAAAATGGTTTGTGGTTGAAGAGTATGTTTTTGAACAGGTTTTGAGCATAATCCTCTTTGAAAGAAAAAAAATATGGGTATAGATAGTATAGTAATAGCCTCTCATAATGTTAGAGGATTCAATACACCTGAAAAGCGTTCACAAATTTTGTATCACTCACATAAAAAAAGGGTGGATATCTTGTGTATTCAAGAAACACATTTTAAGAAAGGGGCACC